TTAAGACCCCTGGTTGCTTAATATTCAGTCAGATAACTTAAGTATTTCATGTCTTCAAATGTTAAATATATCTAATTTTAATTGTGTGGGAACCTTCAATACAAAAAGGGCATGTGCATTATCGCCGTGACCTTGAGTGATATGGGCCCTGATAATTTATGCTTTAACCGACTATTTCCCCGGAGTCTTTATTCGAAATGTATCCTGCAATTGTTTAATTTTCAATCAGTATATGATGCTGTCGGCGGTAAACATTAATTCAGCGAATTTGCTTGCAAGATATTTGAATGACCTCGTGTAATTATAGCTTCGCAAGACCAATCATATTCTACAAGAAATGTTAAGTTTTCTTTAAGTTTATTTATTCAACTTCCTTCATGATTCTCATTTAACCCTTTCCTTTATAGATATTACTGGTAAAATAACTATATGAACCGCGCCATATTGAACCCTAGATGAGCCGTCAGTACTAAAGAACTCTGATATAATATAGGAATAACGCATGTTTCTTTTTTCGTGTTAAAATATCTGTAGAAACCCAAGGGATTAGTTGGTACCCGACCCAACGTATCCCGAGGGTTTCAGCAGTTGTTATGACACGGAACAATCATTCGTTAACGCTATTCTAGCATAAAGCATGCATAAATCTAACACAATCCATACACAATCAAGCAACATCACTGATTTTCCTCGGATTGCACGGGAACGTCAGCGTTGTATGTGACCGTGACGTCATTTCCGTTTTAGTTAAGCAGCGTCCGGGCCACAATGTATTGACGCTGTGCCACGGAAAACGTATATCAAAAAGGTGTTTTAACAGCGCATGAGCGCTAGAATCTCCTTGTTAAAAGACCTTTTTGGTCCTGTTAAAACACCCCGAAATCATGGTTATAACGGCAGTTTTATGCTAGAATATAAAGTAATGAATAACAACATGGATTCCAAGAAGACTAAAAGCAAACTCACATTGCACAATACTAGCCGCAATTATAATACTGCTAATAAAGTTCACGAATTTTCATTGGTTTAGAGGCGGGATATATTTATAGGTTATTACAGAGGTCTGATGTGCCTTTATTCGATTTTGGCCCACTAAAAGAGCCCGAGGGCTAATACCGATCTTGTAGACCCATATCGCATTAAGGCACACCAGACCTGTTCTATAACCTTTTTATTGCATGTGCTCATTTATGTTTTGGTTTTCATTATAGAATTAAAAAAATCGTTTGAAAACATTGTTCAGCGACAATGTATAATTTATTTTAAAAAGCGAGGGACTTTTGACGTCGTCTAATGACGTTGACGTCATTTCCTCACAAACATTTGTTTTTAATATATTTTGGCGTTATTTAACTGTTTGGAGATTGTTTTTCAAGTGTTTCTTCAATTTTGCTTTTTTATCAAGATATATTTCAGTTAAACGTATTTTTTCTTATAAAATTGTCAATCTTTCCGCGTTTTTTTAGCAACCCGAAGTGGGAAATCGATATCGGCCCAACCGGAAGTCGGACCGATATCGATATTTGGCGCATCACGTCACCTGACCACAGTCATATTACATGGACAAAACTCATATACGTTTAAATTCACATTTTTTTTCTATTTATAGTGTTTGCCGTTGCGTATTTATAGGTTATTACACAGGTCTAGTGTGTCTGAATGCAATATTGGCCAAGAAGAGGTATTGGCCCGAGGGCTTTAGCGGTCTCGTAGGCCAATATAGAGGATATTACATGAGTGTCTTTTCATATTGAATTTATTAAACTCGTTGAATAAAATAATAAAATGCTCGGCAGAGCCTCGCAATTTATTATTTTATCAAACTCGTTTAATAAATTCAATATGAAAAGACACTCATGTAATATCCTATATTTATTTGATGCTAACTAATGAAATACTGTTCTATCAATGAAATATATTCATATTATATCAGTCACAGTGTGGTGATATAGATTTGGGTGATATAAGCCACGCCCACTCTGCGTACGTATTTATAAGTCTGGATTCCCTAAACATGCATTAAAAATAACTGTTTAATTTCATTCTAAATGACATATTTCTCGATTCAAATGTCCGTAATTTTGTAAGATTGTTGACAATGAGACCGCAAAAAGAAATATAAATAAATAAGGATTATTTTGCTTGCAGCGTTAACGTTTGCCGTCATATTGTTTACGCGCGCGTAGTCTCCGCGCTTCAGTAGTAAACGGTCTAAAAGCACTTTTCAAAAGGCACATAAAATAAAAAGAAAATGTGTTTGCTTTTCGTGAATATGAACTATATCTCACATCGAAGTGAGAAAATGTTCATATTTTCACTCGCGCTACGCGCTCGTGATACATATTTCATTTTTTTTCTCACTTCTCAGTGAAATATATTTCATATTCACTCAAAACAAACAAATATCCTCTATAAAATTCACTAAACACCGTCGTTTGAAACTATCTAATCATAAAAGGCGAAAAAAGCTAAGACGCGTCGAAACGATAAAGCGGCCCCGCCACAAAGACACGATCTGTTTAAACGAATTAACTATATTATTATTACTAGTGGAATAGATATGGAAAGTTCCATAGAGCGTCTGCAAGCAATTGGCACAGACTTGCAAAATCGTCTCAGGAAAGAAGGTTCCTAGATGTCAAAATGTCATACTCTTTAATTGAACCAAGATTCCTGAAAGTCTGCGGAAGTCAAAAGTCTGTCAGACCAAAAAAGGTTCATTGATGTCAAAAGGTCCTAATCTCTAATTAGATATCCTGAAAGTCAACGGGGGTCTCAGCTACTTCCCAAACAATCATATATGGTCTCATTGGTGTAAATATGGTCATAATTTGTACTGAAACTAAGATTAAGTCTGTGAGATTCCTTTAGACTGTCGCTGTATGGTGGGAAGAAATTTGAGGGTTCACAGAGGTAAAAGATCACTTCCAGTTGAAGTCTGATACTATGCCGTGCATTGTCACCAAAATTTTTTGAAGGTTTCGAGAACGTAAGACGACTTGATAGCAATACCATTACGACAATGCGACAGTTCTATGAAGACAATACAATGCCGACGATACGATATTGCAACAAGTTAGTACGATGGCGATAATGCAATGGTGGTGAAAAGATATTGGTATCGTGATGTCGACATCACAATATCGATTTATTGCATTGTCGCCCTTGTACTATCGCACTGATATAACCACGATTGTCCTTATGATATTCCGTGTATCACATATTGAAAAATAAACTTGTGACATTTGTGATTCGCCTGTTTAAAAATTCTCAATTTTGCTTGTGACGTTTGTGATTGGCATTTTTACCCGATTTTGGTCAATCACATTCGTCACAAAAGTCATTTGTGACGAATGTGATCACATTCGTCACAAATTCATAAAAACTTGTGACGAATGTGATTTGTGACACATGTGGCCTAACAGGGCTCGAACCCATGATCCCTGGGTTGAGAGGCAGACACCTTAACCACTATGCCACCACTCCTCTTCCCCTTATGGATTCTTGATATTTAAATATTCTATTACGCGCTGATTTGCCATCGTTGGCTTCGTTTAGTAATAAGAAATAAAGGACATCAGTGAGAAAAATAAATAAAAATCTTTTATAACGAATAGAACAAATAACAGTATGTCAAGTCGCGTATATGAACTAATAACTATTGAGCTATCTTCTTGGTAACGTGACAACCTTCTTGACCACAGAGCATTCTCGAAGAATGAATATCATATATTTCGATTTAAAACTAATTTTCGTTTCTGATTTAGATTTTGCATTAAAGGCCTAACATCTACAGGAAAGGTGCTTGCATATAAATCTTACTCTATGAACAGACAAGTCAAATTGAGTTTGACAGTCAATCATGCCGAACTTGGCAAATTTTTAGTATTTAGCAATTACTTTTTGTAAATTTAGATGTCTCAATTCTGACATTTCTATACAAAATTGTTGTTAGTTTTGTATTAAATGAGAAAGCAGGACTTGCTCACTGTTTAGTCAATAAGAACATGAGTTTCGTTATATTTTTAAATGTAGTTATTGTGCCCATGAAAGACACAGGTGTATAAGAAATTACTATTCAATGTTTTCTAGTACATTGATTTTCAGACTCTAATGTATAGTGATAATAGAAATACTTTACTTAATTTAGCTATATTTGTTAAAGCATTAATGCTGAAACTTATTTGAGTCATCTTCCTTATTCACTTCTTTGCCATATTTGTATTATTTACTTGTAATATTGTCCACTCATATGCCCTCACTGACTATGAGTTGTGTTAATAAATAATAGATAGATAATTAATAAAAACATAATAATGTATAAATGTATTGTTATTTATTCGTTAGGTACATAAAACAACGTATACTACCCTTACGCAATTTCACTCCGCCTTCTAAATTTATACGCATATATTGGTTGCCTTTACACATGATCTAAATGTGTTGATCCATTATAAAGGAGGATATCGATATAACCTACACGAATGTTAATTAGTAATACTATGAGAAACGAATACTGTGAACAAAATTTCTACAGGTTTATAATATATTCTGAAATAGGGAGATCACTGTTAAAATAAATATTAAAAATTGCAAACAATTTCATTGAATTGAACTGTGATGGTACGCGTAACACGTTCGTAGCATCTGTTTCAAAGTCACGACGACCCATCACCAGTTACAGCGTTATCAATAGTCAGGACGGAATTCGAGTTTTATTATCTTAACGTTCCAAAAAACATGGAATGATTTGAGATACGTACTTGTGATGTAACAACACTTATACATATACATACAATAGAGATTCTACGAATAATTAAATACTTATAATATAAAAATGTAAGACACTTTGATAATATTGATATTTCGTTTTATTAATATTGATGTCATTTCGTTAAAATAACGCATACCGTGGTGTCCCTTGTTTATTTTTACTGTACATTTGAAACAGATACACTAAGACAATTTTATATTAATGTGTATTAAATATGCATTCAAAGATATACAAGTAAAGACGACGTTCACCGAACGCATTCATCACCAAAACATAGAATAGCAGGACAACTTGCAAGGGACCCAGCAGACACCGAGCAAAAACGGGACGGGAGAGGATACGGACGTAAAACGCTTTTATGGTTGACGTAGATTTTATGCACTATCTTTTTTAAACATCAAGCAAGGTTTCATAACAGCAATCAGGATATATTTTTTTTATTTTTTCAAATAACAAGTAAACTGTATTGTTCTTGTAAAATTCATTTATAAAACAAAATTTCAAAACAAGTAAAAAAGACAGTAAGTGTTTTATACAATGTTGTAAAGATCTCAGTGGAATAACTAGCTGTCAACAATTGAAGACACAGTTTTTATTGAATCGATTGATACCGAAGATTTATACTCCTTCAAATCAACAGGGTTTCCATTTCTGATATCGGGAATTTCCTTTCGGACATCAACGTCTGTGGAGTAAACCTTTTCTATAGGAAGATGGTTCCCAACCATCAACTGATAAACAAAAGATCCAATAATAGCGCCGGTCATCCCTGCAATTGGTGGGACCCAGGCCCAATTGTTGGAGTGTCTGTGGGATATAAGAAAGAAAAAAAATTCATAACGTGTAAAACGCTGTGTTTTTATTAGGTATGGATATTAGATCATGAATAAATGAGCCGCGTCACGACAAAACCAACATAATGGGTTTGCGACCAGCATGGATCCAGACCAGCCTGCGCATCCGCGAATCGCTATTGGTTTCTCTACTTGTTATAGGGTTTGTAAGCCAACAGCATGGATCCTGATCAGACTGCGCGGATGCGCAGGCTGGTCTGGATCCATGCTGGTCGCAAACCCATTATGTTGGTTTTGTCGTGACGCGGCTCAAATGTCATTGAAGAACATGCGTACGAATGTATTTTATTCCATGTCATTTCATGATGTTGAAATATGCAAATGTCCGAACGAACTAGGTGAGTATCTGTGTTGCATATGTTAATATTTTGGTTGCCTTATAGGATTTTAACTTACACATATTTTAAAGCGGCCATATGACGACCTTCCTGATTTACAGTTAGAGGAGAAACATAGGTGCCCCTCTGTGCATTTTTCGAGCGGGGACCTGGGTAGGTCCATTAGGCCTTCGGTCTAT